TGGGATTCTGAGAAGTGTAGCGGTGCCGCAACAAAAGGTACAGTACACTTCGAGCCATGGCAGTGAAAGCGGCGTCAAATCGGATTATGGCTACAGCGCGGATACAGTCTCACCAAGACAACGAGATCTGACTCAAAACTATTTTGGGATCCCTTCGGCAGGTCTCTGGGGTTTAAGAGGACCCGGCCCCGAAATCCCGCCCTTGTTTGCTCCGAAGTCAAATCTGTGTGTTTGTGTTTGTGTGTGTTTGTGTGTGTGTGTGCAGGTTCTTTGCCTTTAATGGCGACCCTAAGGTGACCCTATCCTGGGGTTTTCTTGGCAAATTTCTTCAGAGAGGGTTTGCCACTGCCATCCTCTGAGGCTGAGAGAGTGTGATTTGCCCAATGGGTTTCCATGGTTGAGCCGGGATTCGCACCTTGTTCTCTCTCCAGAGTCATCGCCCAACGCTCAAAGCCCTACACCACACTGTCTGGCTCTTATTCCTTAGCCCTGGTTGCCGGCTGGTGGCTCTGAATGGGGCTGAGAGCAGCCTCCCCTGCCCCGCTTTGAATTTACTCCTCCTGGGTCAGATCCCTTGGCTTCGAGATAACCTCAGGCCCCTGGAACTGAAGTCGGAGCGGTTGCAGTGCTCTGAGCATCTCAATATGGCTCTGGAGACCTGAGTTCGAATCCCCGCTCGGCCACAGAAACCCATTGGGTGACTTTGGGCACTCTCTCAACCTCAGGGGAAGGCAGAGGCAACCCTTCTCTGAACAAATCTTGCCAAGAAAAGCCGGTTATAAAGTCGCCGTAAATCTGAAATTACCTGAAGGCACACAACAAAGAACAAACTTTGCGATCCTATGGCTCTCGCTGAGGAGTAAAAGTCCCCAGAGAAAGCGCTTAAACATGCCACACCCTCAGGCTGAGATCCCAAGGTACCCACCCATCTACTTACCTACCTAGGAGAACCTACCACCACCAAAACTATTCCTAGAAGAAGAGCCCTATGATCCGGTTTTAAGGAAAAGGGCAGCCAAGGGTCCTGTGGCGTCCTGCCCATTAATTCATTCATTTGTGGCAGAGAGAAAAATCCTACAGATTCAGATGCAAGTGCTGTTGACTTTTACCTAGAAAAAGTCCAGCCATCTCATTTATTATACTACTGTGAGTGAAGTTTTTTTGAAAGAAAGTTTGGAGGCCCTAATAAACCGGGTCTGGGAGAGTTGAGGTTCTTCTCCGATCCTAAATTTCAGCTCTGTTTCATGCCTCCTGTATGTAGCTCGGGCTGCTGCGGGTTTGTGGTTTTCAAAGAAACATTGCGCTGAAGGCAACATGTGGCAGCAAAGCAGACCGAGCTCACAAAGGCTGCATCCGCACTGCAACAATAATCCGGTTTGACTCTCCTTCCCCCCCCCCCCCACACACACACTTTAACCGCCATGCCTCCATCTGGGAATGGTAGTTTGTTGCGGCACCAGAGCTCCGCTCAGCATATATATAATAAAAGGGTACCTTTTTCGCCCCCCCCCCCAGGCTGCATCTGCACTGCCGAAATAAGACAGTTCGACACCGCTTTAACAGCCATGGCTCAGTGCTATAGAATTATAGGAATTGTAGTTTTTGGAGACAATTAGTTTTCCTCTGTCAGAGAACTCTGGTGTCGCAACAAACTGCAAATCCCAGAATCCCACAGCATTGAGCCATGGCACTTAAAGTGGTATGAAACTGGATTATTTCTGCAGTGGGGATGCAGCCCCGAGTGAGTCCGTGGGGCTGGGGGCGCTGTCATTGCTCTTATTTGGAGTATTCATCCTCGCAGGCTCTCCTTCCTACCTGCCTTCTCTGTCTTTCTTTTCCCGCCACTTTCATGACAGAGAAGGTTAAACGTCTCACAAAATTACAATTCCCAGAAATCCGTAGTATGAAGCCGTGGCAGTTAAACTGGTGTCAAACTGGATTATTTCTACAGTGCGGATGCAGCTGAGGAATTCCTAAAGCGCCACAAAGCTCAGGGGCCACTTCTTGTGCGCCTTCGTGGCGTTTCCGACCTATGGCGACCCCAAGGCAAACCTATCACGGGGGTTTCCATGGCCATCCTCTGAGGCTGAGAGAGTGTGACTTGCCCAGGGTCACTCAGTGCGGGGTTCCATTGGCCGAGCTGGGATTCGAACCCTGGTCTCCAGAGTCACAGTCCAACGCTCAAACTACTACGCCACGCTGCCACTTTCCTTCTTCCCAGAAAAGGGATCGCTCTATTTGTCAAGCCTTGGCATTCAGGATGGTCAACAAAGGGCCTTTGCAGACTGCCAGAAATAGTGCAAATTGAGTCCACTTTTAGGGTTAGGGTTAGTGCTAGGGAAGCATGGGAATTGGTGTTTTTTTCTGAGACACTGAGCCTTCTCTGTCAGAGAGCTCTGGTGCCACAATAAATTACAGTTCCCATGATTCCCTAACCCTAACCCTAAAAGTGGACTCAAGTTGCACTATTTCTG